AGAAAGAAGACACTGAAGATATGATAAGGATGCTGTGCATGTATACTTGTTTGAAGCTTTTTTTCTCTACATCCGGAACAACAGTTGGATGGGTATTTCTTAATTACATAAAAGACATAAACTCAATGAGAAAATACAATTGGGCAGAAGCAATAAGGAACACACTGATGTCTTCAATTGAAAAATACCACAAAAATCCAGCGAAAGTCACAGGATGTGTTATGGCTCTCTTAGTAAGTACACCTTTACTCTATTCTATTAGTTTGTTGTTAATAACAGACAGTATTATTTCTTATTCAAATGACAAAAATTCTTTACATTTCCTTTGTAGTATTGGTTGTGTGAGCACACACTGATCATCCACCCTGAAGTTAGTGAAGCATGCCCAAGGGTGATCAAGTGGAATCTTATCAAATTACATAAACGTATGAGAGTTATATCACTACATTAGTTGACAACAAGACAAGTCACATCCTCATCTCATTTGAATTTCAATTCGACTTAGGAAAAATCCCTATTTTTATACACCGAATCATTACTGAGAAACTTTTCAGTTTCCTAAACTTCAATTATTTCAAAAACTAATATCTATTGTATGTTGACCTACAGGTAACTACTGCTCAATTGAGTGAGGAAAGTGATGAAGAACTTAATCACACTGAAGAAAAAGAAAAAGAAGATGCTGAAGAAGAAGAACAAGAAGTACAAGAACAAACTTTCAGATCAAACATGGTGACAATAGTGAAGCTATTACAGCACATCAAACTCAGGAATGAGCATATTAATGGCTTGAAGAAAACCCCATTTTGGGTATTGTTTGATGCAATATTGCAAAACAAGCTGAGTTGTAAACAATGCAGAAAATATGATGACATTGCTTTGAAAATAATTCAAACATACCAACCAGGTAGCAGTGGTTCTTTCTAGTTAGGACCAGAAACTGTAAAGCTAACAACAGAAGACATCAAGTCCATCTTCGGCATATCTTGTGGAGATGAGCCAATGCATCTTGGTTGTGGAAATAAAAGAATATCATCATTTCTGACAAGAAGATCCATACAAACTGAAAGGCTATCGAGCACAACTATCACCGACTTGTTGCAAAAAGCATTGAAAGACAAGAAAAAATAAGACACTGAAGATGTGATAAGGATGCTATGTACGTATACTTGTTTGAAGCTTTTTTTCTCTACATCCGGAACAACAGTTGGATGGGTATTTCTTAATTACATGGAAAACATAAACTCAATGAGAAAATATAATTGGGCAGAAGCAATAAGGAACACACTGATGTCTTTAATTGAAAAATACCACAAAAATCCAGCAAAAGTCACAGGATGTGTTATGGCTCTCTTAGTAAGTACATCTTTACTCTATTCTATTAGTTTGTTCTTAATAACATATAGTATTATTTCTTATTCAAATGACAAAAATTCTTTACATTTCCTTTGTAGTATTGGTTGTGTGAGCACACACTGATCATCCACCCTGAAGTTAGCAAAGCATGCCCAAGGGTGATCAAGTGGAATCTTACCAAATTACACAAACATATGAAAGTCATATTACTACATCAGCTGACAACAAGACAGGACACATCCTCATCTCATTTGAATTTCAATTCAAGTTGGGAAAAATCCCTATTTTTATACACTGAATTATTACTGAGAAACTTTTTAGTTTCCTAAACTTAAATTATTTCAAAAACTCATATCTATTGTATGTTAACCTACAGGTAACTAGTGCTCAATTGAATGAGGAAAGTGATGAAGAACTTGATGACACTGAAGAAGAAGAAAAAGAAGATGCTAAAAACACTGAAGATGAAGAACAAGAAGATGCTGAAGAAGAAGAACAAGAAGTACAAGAACAAGAACTACAAAAGCAAGATGCTGAAAATACTGAAGAAGAAGAAGAAGATGGTCAATATGCTGAAGAGTGCCGCCAAGAACAAAAGCCAGCAAATGAAGACTTTAATGACTTCTGCAACATTATACTCAATGATGCACCTGAGGGAGAAGAACAAATTCATCAACAAACACTTGAGAAACTTCAAACTGAGAACAACAATTTGCAACTAGACAACACAGTGAAGACCATCTACATAAATAAACTTGAAGAGGATAACAGGCTACTCACAGCACAAATACAACAATTGAAAGATGAAAATTCTCGATTGCATAACCAGTTGGTTGAAAAAGAGGTCCATGAGGTAACCCAAGAAGTTTGTGGAGTAAAACATTCTGGGACAGATGCAAAGAATGAAGGTCATACAATAAACAACGAAAATTCTCAAGTGCTGCAGAAAAAGGTCCATGAAAATTCTGAAGTGGTGGACAAAGAGCTCCATTAGAAAGAGGTCCATGAAAAATCTGAAGTGGTCGACAAAGAGCTCCATCAGAAAGAGGTCCATGAGATAACACAACAACCTTTTGCAACAAAACATTGTGAGACAAATACAAATTTGAAAGATTGTCAAAATTCTCAGTTGCAGAATCAGTTAGTAGAGGAAGAAGTCCATGACTTAACCCAACAAGTTTGTTCAATAAAAGCCGATGATCTGACAGAATCAAGACAAACAAATCTACAGAATTCCATGATTAAAAATATCAAAGCTAAAGCAAGGAAGACTACTGAGGTATCAGATTATGAGTATAGAGGCAAGAAAGTTAAAGTTGAGAAAGAGAAGGAACACAAAGATGAGACAATTTCAAACAAGTATGTTGTGGCTCAATTGCTACCTTTTGAAGATAAATATAAACTACAAATTCTTTGGAAAGAAAAGCAAACAGAATCAAGGTATAATCTTACATAAATCTTTCAATTTTTCGTGTAGTACAAATATATGAAATGAAATTGAGAAATAGCTCTGTTTTCTAAAAATATTCTGGCTTAATTATTAACACATTTTTTTATTGTTTTGTAGTGCTTGTATATGGTTTGGCGCAAGATATGACAATTGTGTGTTTATTAATGATATCAAGAACTTGGTAAAAGGGACAGACATATCCAGCTGTGTACGTATAATATTTGTAATATTTTAACACTGAAAAACTTCTCATTAATTTGTTAACATCACTTTTGTGTTTCAATTTGATAGACAATTGATGCATATGTTGAAATTCTTGAAACAGAACCATAAGCACAGAATTCTGGTGATGGAGCAGAGCACAATGACAAGTCTTTCATATTGTCAAGTCTATATTGGGTAAGGAATAAATGTGCATGTGTCAATTCTATACTTTATCTTCCATTCAATTTTGGTTTCAAAGTAGATTTTTTGTGTTTGTTATCATTGTTGTGAACGTTCTCAAATTTTGATTTTGGTATCATTCCTGGGAATATACTCAGATTTCAAAACAATTTGAGTAATAAATCGTAGTTAATCATGTTTTGTTTCTTTTCATCAACATATGAATATTGAGTTCGTACCATTACTGTGAATATTCACATATTTTTTGTAAAAAACAGCTAATGTTGAAGAAGAAAACTTCAGAACAAAGGAAAAAGGCTTTGAAAATACTTTGCAAGAATCCCTCCCATGTCGATACATCCATATCCCCATCCACAATTTCAATCATTGGACATTACTTGTTATCGACAAACACTTGGGGACTTGGAAACATTTCAACTCTCTGAGACCAAGAAAAAGAAAAGACAAGCACTACAACGTTGCAAATCAACTGGTAAGAACAATTTCATATTAGCATTACAATAATCAGATGTAAATCATTACATACTTTATATTGATGTTTTTTACAGCAAAAAATCATCCATCAATACATGAAGGATACACCTTGTTAAGCAGAAAAAGCCTGGAATCTTGATGTCAAGATTGAATTAGTCAAAGACAGCCCTCAACAAGAAGCAATGACGTATGTTAATTTATTCTAACTAACAAATTTTAATATCTTTTCCAAAAAAAAAATATTTTTTTCCTAACTGTGTCAAAAATGATTTATGAAGGAATGACTGTGGAATTATTGTTTGTTACATCATAAGACAATACATGAGGCATCAGCCAATTCCAAACACATTACCACCAGGCACATCCACAAGACTCAGAGCAGACATGGTACATGAGTTCATCAGTGATCCACAAAGATCAATCAGAGTCAAGTAGAGTCAAGACTGCAACATTCAATGAAATCTTTTTTGATGTGTAACTCAATGAACTCTTTTTTGTAACACTCTGATACAATGACTAATGTTTTTGTTAATAGTTCCAAACATATTACCTAATAACCATATTACAATTTCTATGATGTGTAATGGAATATTTTGTCATACTCTCAAAGATATATGCACCCGAGCTTTGTTGATATTTTTGTCCATATTCTCAGTTTCTATTATTATGTTCCTCACACTACTATATTTTCAGTTTTTATGCAATGTTTTGTTGCCTCACAATCACTTATTTTCAAACTTGGAAACTTTAAAACTGAGAATATTTTCATATTTATACCGATCACTCAATTTTCAAACAACAATATTATCACACAATTTATTTGCTGCCTCACAATATTATGACAATTTGAAAAACTAAAATTCGAAACAAAGAATATTTTCACTTTCAGTCCACTGTTACTTTAATCAAAACATAAAGCATTGACCACATCTATTTAGAATATTAATTTACATTTATTCAATTGATCACATTCATAACTACTTCTAATTCATAACAAGAGCCTCACACTATTATCAAAATCAGCTATTTTGAACTAAAAACTTAAACTGAAAATATGTTCACTTTTTATACAGTATTCACATAATCTTCAAAACAAACATTCAACAGTCAAGTTTATTTCCGAAAGCCAACCAAACAATATTATCACAAAAAATTTCAAAATTAAAATTTGAAACTAAGAATATTTTTACTTTCAATTCAATGTCACTTTATTCAAAACATAGAAGATTATTACTTAGTGCTCAACAGCACAAACTGTTACTTCAAGAAATTTATGAATACGAAATTTGTACAATCACAAAGCAACTACAAAAAATCACAAAGCCTCCTTACACGATTTCTTATTGTGATTGCCAACTTTCCCACATCTACTACAAGTAATTTGCCTTACTTTCTCACCATTCAAACGGATCATTTTCTTATTTGGCCTTCCTGGTTGCTTCTTAGACAAAGGAGGAAAAACAACTTCACTATCACCATCAACATTACAATTTGGTTTCCAAATTGAAGGAACCGGATATATGGGAAAAGAATAGAACTCTCGATAACTTTGAACATAGAAGTATTGATCAACAAATAAACTCAAATCAGGTCCACTCTTTTGTATAGCACCAACTGCATGTGCACATAGAAACCTTTTTAACTGCCACTCGGCACACGAACATATTTGTCTACTAATGTCAACTAAAACAGATGGATGTGAATGCACCTATAGACATCATTTCCAGATGAACTAACAGTCCATGGCCTCGAAGTATTAAAACCATCATGCAACTTCGACTCCATTTTAGGGCATATCAAACCATTCCATTTATTAACAAGTTCCCTCTTCTTTGCAATTTTCCTCATCAACTTAATTCTTACACTATTAATCAACTTTGTGATAGGCAAGTGGCGTTCCTCTCGTATCCACGAATTGAAAGATTCAGCTACATTTGACCACATCTCTCCAAAGCGTTGCCCTCGAAAATATGCATTACTCCAATGATCATATGGTATGTCATCTAAAAACTTTTCAACTCTTGACCCACCTTCAGTCTTTAACTCAACCAAACATTGATGAAATGTTTCTTCAGTTAGAGCATATGCACATTTCCCAAACAGAGTGATCAACTTTTCTTTCAATCCATGAAACATACCACGCAAATTATGCCTCAAGTTCATCTTCAAATGATATAAACAATAAGCATGGAAAGCCATTGGGAAAACCTTTGGCAACACTTCAACTAATCCAAGGTTACGATCTGACACAAATGTAATATTTCGTTCTGGTGAAACAATTCTACTCAAATGCTCCAAAAACCAACGCCAGTTATCTTGATTCTCTGAGCCAACAACTACAAAACAAACAGGAAAGAACCCTGCATGTACAATACAGAAAAAATGAAAATATTCTATTATTCTTAGACAATGGTAACACTTTAACATTCAAAATACAAAACACTAAAATGAATAGCTGGAAAAAAAAAATGCATATACAACAACAATATTATATAAAATTTAAAACATTCAATCATATTTCTAAACTAAGAACTTTCTCAATTTCAGAACAGAGAAAATAGATTTCTTATGTACCTTGATTTCCATCTTTTCCTGTAGCAGCAAGTAAATTTCCTTTAAATCTTCCTTTCAAAAATGTGCCATCAAGGAATAAGAGAGGTCGACAATAATCAAATCCACCAATGGAACCATGAAAAGAAACAAATAATCTCTTAAACCGTTTAGTATCATCATCACACTCAAACTCAATGTAACTCCCTGGATTGCAACTCTTTGCAACATCCACATACCATCTTAACTGGTCAAATGACATTAAGTAGTCTCCAAAAATCTCACATTTTACTTTCTTTACCCCCAACCAAGCTTGACGATAACTAACTCTCAACCCATACCCCAACTTAAAATCCTGAATAACATGAACTGGATGTGTCAATGGATTATCACGAACACCTTCAACAATCAAATTAGCAACTAAATCAGAACTCATACGAGAATGATTCATCGTACGTACTTCAGCACCACATGTGTGGACATTGTTCAACTTCCTTATATAAAAGAACTCATTAGCATTCTCCACTCTACCATGAACATTCCACATACAACCTTTTGTCTCTCTAAACAAACATTGTGCTGTAACACGAACTTTATCATTCTTAACAAATATGAACTCAAATCCGCACTCAATAGAAAACTTCGACAATGCATTACGAAATTCAACAATTCCACCTTCAAATTTTTGTCCTACATGTGTAATACTAACTGCCCAACTAGCAGACAACAGTACTTTTTCCTTGTGTCGACAAAATGATGATAACATATCAACCTCTTCTTCAACCTCCAACCTCGAATTCCTTTTGGAGGATATAGATGCTCTGTTTGACAAGTTCACAGACTTACTGCTGTCATGAGAGAATGCAATATCACAAACTTCAAGATCCAACATTGTCTCTCTTTCTCCATAATCCAATCTTTTGTTGAGATAACCACAGTCAATGGTTGAGTCTTTTATTCTCACAATAACATCAATACATTTTGAATCAAAATGCACAACTAATGCTAACAACAAATCTAACTCCTCATTGTTGTCCAACGTACAATTAGGATGTCCAGGCAATGAGTAAGATAGATAAACATTATCAGATTGCAAATTATCCAATTTCAAACATACCTTCTCAACCAACTGATCATATGTAACATTTTGATCAATCTTAATTGCAAATGTGCAACCATTATACTTGCACAACAAAAAAATAGGCGCACTTGTACAACCTTCACTCATTTTTCAATCTAAACAAGAAAAAAGATCGCATCAATAAAAATCAGAACAATACTAAGAACTTTCTCATTTTTCACAAACACTTCATAACAATAAACACCAGAACAAAAAACTTCATAACAATACAAATACTTCACAAATCACGTTTTCAATTCATAAAATAGATAACCAAACCGATAAATCATCCAGCAAATCACGTCTTCAATTCGTAAAAACAAAATTATTGAACATAAAGAAATTTCTAAAAAAACATAACACACAAAATCGAAACAATACATACCTATAAACCAGATCGAAGATCAAATATCCAGCAAATCAATTCTTCAATTTATAAATCGAAATCGCACATAACAAACTCCAACAGATTTCAACTCAAAAAGCGAATCAAACTAAGAAATCCTTCAAGATCCTTTCCTATTCGAATCAAAATCGAGAAATCAATTACGTATAATAGCAAACCAAAGCAATAAATCCTTTAAGATCGTTCACGATTCGAATCTTCAGCTACTTCCATAACTGATCTGTTAATTGATTTTTTTTTTCTTTCTAGTAAATAACGTGAATGGAATTTTATATACCGTTGTGTATGTTAAAGGGCAAACATGTCTTTTTACCTACAAATGGGACTTATTGGTTCAAAAAAAATTTGATAGGTCCTAAGCTACAACCAAACATGTTGATAAGACTTTTAGGTAATTATCTCTAATTTATTTTATATATTTTTCATGTATTATTATGAAAAAATACCAACAGTGCCAACCCTCAGCAATAGTAAAGCCTTTTGAGCTTCTTTTTTTTTTATATTTATTTAATGAGGCTAAAATAGCATCTGACCTCAGTTGCTAAACACCGCCAAAGTTATCAAGCAGAATAGTAGGTTGTTCAAAATTTGTTTAAAACCTTAACGAGTTTTATTTTAAAATTAGATTTATTGACATACCAAGTTGATTTTGAACTAGTTTTTAACGAACTGAACACGAGTTGAGTTCGAATAATTTAACTTAAAAACTGTACGAGTATAAAATCATATTCAAACTTGACTTATTGACATACCAAGTTGATCATAAACAAATTTTTAAGAAGTTAAATACAAATTAAGTTCGAGTAATTTGATTTGTTTAATTGCCCAGTATTAGGGATAGTGGCAGAGGGGAAATTGTTGGTGGCGGCAGCGACATGTCAGGGATGGTTGTGAAAGGGGCAATCATTGGTTAGCGGTGGTGGTTTTCTCATTTCTCTTTATGGTTGACGGTGGAGGAGTTTGCTTTGACTGTTCTTATAAGTAGGAGAAAGAGAAAAAGAGAGAGAGAGAGAGAAATTGTTCTTACTTGGTGATTGATTGTTCTTGTTGGGTATGACTAGATGCAATATCTACAACTCACAGCCCTTGCTGTTGTCCGAAGATTCTTGCTTTATGCTAGTGCTGATCATGTTCTGCATAAGATTTTCAACTTGGAGAAAGCAGAAAGTGAATTGGATAGTTTTTAATTTACGTGGATTGGATTAAGATTGTGTTAGTATGTGATTTTATTAACAATGTTATTTATTTTATTTTATTTTATTATTCGTTACATATTAACTTAGTGGTGGGGTCATGGGTTAGTGGTGGGGTCATGGGGCAGGGACTGGTGCTTAGTCAACTGTGATTTTGTTGTATATAAATAATATTTATTAATAAATGAAGGGAAGAAAAACACTACTATTAGAATTCTTCAATTGTGAAAATAGAAAGTCAAGTTCTCCTCAATGCGAATCAATTAGAGGTCTTTTATCTCTTTTTAGGTCTCGTTTGGAAGTATATTATTTTAAGTTATTTTAATAATTTTTTAATTTTTTATAAAAAAATAAAAAATAATATAATAATTTATAATAACTTTTTAATTAAAATATATAATTAACAGACGACATCTTATTATATTTTTATTTTTGGTTAACAAAAAAAAGTATGTAACATATTAAAGCAATCCAAAGTGGAGGCTTTCACAATCATATCATGGCCGGTCGGATTTGGGGATTTGGTACATAGAGAGAGATTTTTCATTACTTGTTTAAACAATTAAAGCAATGACAAATAGTAACAAATGATGAAAAATGAAAAAAAAAAACAAAAAAAAACCCTTTAAAACTCAAGTTTTGGATTTGGTAAGAAATTAAAATTGCTCTTCATAATTTTTTCTATAGTACCTAAATTATCCCTCTAAATATAAATAAATAAAATAAAATGACACGTGTAGTTTTTTATTTATATTTATTATTTATACAAACAAAATGGGAATATCATTTATTTATCACCTAAGTGAGAAATTATAATAATTTTTTGAGAGACTTACGTGTAAATTCTAATAGGTAGACTTTTTTTTTCAATAGGTTCTATGATAATTAATGGTAGTTTTCATTAAACACTATTAAAAAAAGTCACTAATTGTTAATTTTTAACAACAGTTTAAAAATTTTGTTAAATTTTAACGACAGTTTAAAAAAATCGTCACAAAAAAGCGTCACTAATTTTCAACTGTTAGCGACAGTTTGAAAAATTCATGATAAAAAAATGTTACTAATTAAAAATCGTGACAAAAAAGTCACTAATTATCAATTTCTAATGACATGCAAAAATCGTCACAAAAAATTATTTTTAGCGACGATTTTACTTTGACTTATCTTCAATAGGAGTTGATGAGAATTAAGTCTAACTATTAAGACCTATTAGTAATTTACTTTTTTTTTCCCCTTCTTATCTCCCAATTCAAGCAGAACCTTTGGGAAAGAAAAATGAAAAAGGGAAAAAAAAATTGAAAGTATTTTTTTCAGAGAACAAAGTTAATATAGTAATTTTTTCATTTATTTAACAGTGTTAATTGATAATGCAGGTCAATGATATTTGAAGTAATAAAGATGATTGACTGAAATTTCAAAAGAATCTAAGGAGGGTTTTTAATTTACCTGTTAAAATGGAAAATGTTTGACATCTTTAAAAAAATTTCACAATTCAATTTACAATGATATGATTTGACAAGTATTAGTTTTTGATTGATTATACACTCAAATATAAATGTATTTGCGAGCGCAAAATAGTAGCTAACATTGTTGTTTTAAAATTACGCAGTTGAAGTGCATCTCTTTGCTGAAGTGCCTTTGTTGTGGTTATTAGGGAGAAAATACAAATGACGTTGATATCTTGAATCAGCCAACTCTGTTAGGTTTGGCTTGCCAAAATAAATTTGTCTACAAAAGTGTGTGAATGATATACATTATTTAATTTGTTCAAAAAGAAAACATACACATTATTTAATGAATTTTTATATTGAAAAAATTATGTTCATTTGAGGGGGTTTTAATTAAAAATCTCATATATGAAACTTATACATCATAGCAAATGATAAAACAAAATAAAAAAAATTAATTATCAAAAAGTCCTATCTACATATTTGGTTGTAGCTTAGGTCCTGTCAAAAAGTTTTTGAATCAATAAGTCTCATTTATAAGTAAAAAGACGTTTTGCCCTTTAATCTCAAAACTGAGAATGCTCTCAATTTCAAAATTGAGAATGTTCCCAATTCATAATTATCAAAACTAAGAAATTTCTCAATTTTTTTCTAGTATGAACTAAGAATATTATCAAAATTAAGAAATTTATAATTATCAATTTTGAGAAATTTCTCAATTTTTTTCATGATTAAAATTGAGAATATTATAAACTGAGAAGGTTCTCAATTTTAAAAAAAAACCCTAAATCTCCATCTCTTTCTCTCTCTCTAATGGCAATGGCATCTGTGAACTCAATGAAAATCGAGACCTCACAATCAATGGATTCATTGCCTTCTGGACGAGTCTCCGACGCCAGCTCTGAGTCCTCATTTTCCGGTGGACTCTCATAAGCAACAGTCGCAGATCCACACAATTCTTCACCCAACCCTCCTAGAGACCTTGAATTTCAGGCGGTGACAAGGCGGATCGATGGCGATGGAAAGAGGTAGATTTGTTCAGAGACAGATCAACAACAACCTCAACCTCACGCGTGAGCCAGTTGTAGATTTGAGTTCTTCATCTTCATCGACGATGACGACACCGCAGATCTGAGTAGGGGAAGGAGACGGTGGTTCTGGTGGCGGAACCGGATTTCCAACAACAAAACTCCGTCGAGGGCGTCGATGGAGGACTTGAGGACGGAAGGGAGAAGGAAGGCGATATCGAGATAGCTTGCCGGGAGTTTGTTAGAAGGGTAAATTGGTATATTAAAAATTAATGGGACTTGAAAGAGCAAATAATTTTATCTAGGACTTAATGGATTATAAGTTCACAAAATGGGACTTGTATGTAAATGACCCTAAAAAGAATTCTCAAGTTGATATTGCATTAATTATAGTTATGAATTCAAATCTCGTTGATTATGCACTACAGGAAATTTGAGTTTTAGAGTCGTTTTTAAAACGCCGCTAAAAGGCTGAAAAACGCCGTAAAAACTTACAGCGGCGTTTAATATTTTCGTCGCTGATACGGCCGCCGCAATAGCTTTACAACGTTTAAAAAACGTCGCTAAAAGTATTAGACGGCGTTTTTTAAAACGCCACAAAATATTTAACGTCCGTTCCCTGTCACAAATATATGACGTCATTTAGTGGCGTTTTTTCAAAAACGCCACTTTATTTTATTTATTTATTTATTTTTTGGTGGGTGTGCGCGTGGTGGGGTGGGAAGAGAACAGAATATAAACCAAAGAAATTAATTCCTCCCAAAAATAAAAAATAAAAAACTAAGTTTACAGCTTGAGAATTTAACTAAAAACATAGATGGCTCAAATTTACATATCCATATGCCAATCATACATTAAGCTAATCACAATTTTATATATCCAATATAATTGCACATTTCATGAGATTTTTACTATACAAAATATATGTACCAACTTCCAATATATGTCAGCGCAAGGTAACATTAAATCCAGATTGCCACCCAAAAGATAATCCAGTCACGAAATTTGAAGAACCAACTTATTTACCAAAATGTTTCCTTTTCCAAGACCAAAACAACATTCTGAAACAAAATTTTGATCCTTGATAAAAACCTAAGAATTAACCACCTCCCCATCACAAACTTAAATGCATGCCAACTTATTGAAAAGAAATAGATTAGATAGTACAAAAAATTAGGGGAAGTCACATGTCGAGGTATTTTAAAAAATTAATTACAAATTCATGAAAAAAAGTTTATGATTATACTTGTTAAGTGTTTGTAAAGTTTACCACTAATCTGAAAATATTTTTCCAAACATACAGAAAGATGAGAAATAATTACCAAATTCAAAGAATTCATCAGTGTGATTTACCTTGTTTGTCAGCGGATCAGAAACAATCTCGCAGAAGAATCAGAGCCTGAGACACCAAATTTACCCATTTACAAAATTCACATATTTTGAATTAGTCAATTCTAAATGGGAAAAAAATAATAATAATAAATAAAAAAACTCACAGGTACAACAGTCGCAAGAGCAATGACTTCAAGCATGGAAGATCCAATCAAATTGCTCACAAATCTGATCACATAAACATCAAACAAGTCAATGAGAGAGAAGAAACAATTACATACACACACACACACACATATATGTATAAGAAGGAGATATGTATAGAGAAAGAATGGAGGAATTGAAGAAATTGTAATTGTTACTGTTCTTTTAAGTGCTTGTTTGGATTGAAGGACTTCACAGGAGTCTCCATTGCTGTGTAGAATCTGAAGAAAACCTAAAGCTCGCGATTCTCTGTCCTCCACTACAGAGAGAGAGAGGACCTGAAGGACGGTAGCGATGGGAGGACCAGACCTGAGGAGGAGCTTCAATAGGCAGAGCGCATCCAACGCCATGTGACCTCTTCATCGAAGCTAAAACTACAAAAAAAGATTAGCAAAATTAACCAATCTCTCAATACAAAATAGGCGATTCAGAACAGTCTAATCCATACCTGCTCCAGCTTTTCTTGGAGCAGAAAACCTATCATTTCTCTTGCTCCGACTCGATCGGTCTCGGTCTCGGTCCCAGTCCCTGTCTCAATCCCGATGATCTTCATCCTTCTTCACTCCGCGGTCTCGTAACCCCACTGATTTGTGCAACTCAATCGAACCATCTTCCTCTGCAAAATCATCAGAATCAGAATAAGAAAAACAAAAAACTATCAAGAAATTTCAACCAAATCGATGCAAGAATCAATGGATTTAGAATTAGATCTGCGCAAATGATCGGAATCAACCCTGGTGAATCTCTCAAGGAGCCTGAGGAGACAGAGAAAACCCTAGATCTAGGATGGAGAGAGAAAACGATAGAGAGAAATGGAGAGAGAAAACAAAATGACGGAAAGTGAAATGGGGACAGAGGGAAAACGGAGCACCGTTATAAAGTGGAACACGCGTGTCTTTATGTCTTCTGCAGCGTTTTTCAAAAAAACGTTGTCTAAAAAACGTGGTTATAGGCAGATTTTGTTGTAGTGATGGTTGCCAAATTCAATCCCATTAATTATGTTTGTTTGCAGTTACAAAATAAAATCTCACTAATTTTTGAAAATTATAAATATTCTACTTTTAATAAATTAGAATAATATGAATTTTTGAAAAGTATGAATATTTTTCAAAAAGTAAGAATATTGGTACTTTTTAAAATTCATAAATTTTGTTAATTGAAAGGATAGATATTCAAGTTTATAATTTTACACTTATTAGACAATTATATATATAAATGAGGACAGAATGAGTTCTATGACAAAATATTTTGGAAAAGTGTGAAATTTTAGAAGTGAAAAAATTTCACATTTTCAAATTCAAAGGAAAAAAAAAAAAAGAGGTGTGAAATTTTACTTTTTTTCATTTTACATAATTTTATATTCAGTTGAAATCTTATTTAATAGATCTCGTCGAGTAATTTTCAAAGATTTAAAATTTATGTAAAAAAAAATAAATGCATATTTTGAAGGTTATAAAATATAAATATAAATAAAAAAAAAAAAACACTATCATATAAGCATGTTGACCAATATAAGAATCAAATTGTGATGAAAAAATATCTAATTTTAAAAGTTAGGACCACCTATAATACAAATTACAATTCTAAACATATAAAGGATTTATATGACAAGTATTTGCATAAAATCTATAACTTAAATAAGTTCCCGGAAAATAGACTTTCACTATTTTTCTCTTAATATTTTATTTAGACTTATGAATTTCACAATTTCAATTTTTTTGGGAGTCAAACGGTAGAATATTAGTGGGTTAGTAAGTGAAATTACAATGAAAGAATCATAATCATTCCATCGATTGTGTTCACATATTTTGTCTGAACAAAGCTAGACCCGCTTGCAAACATTTAGGTCTTTAATTACAATAATGTTCGGAATATCAATTAATGTATTAACTAACATATCAATCAGAGATAAAAGTTACTTTTTAACTTTTAATCAAATGTTTTGACTTTTTAAAAAAATCATTTGAAAAGTGGGTAAAATGTTACTTTTTGACTTTTTTAAGTTAATAATGTTTAATGTTGTTATATCACCATGCCATAATATAAAATGACCAAAATACTCCCTCCTCATTTGGTAATTATAGAATTTCACCCTAAAGTGAATGGAGGGTATATTCGTAAATTTCCATATCACGTTTGGCTTTTTGAAAAAATGAGGCCAATATTAGGTGGAGCCACATTAAACAGTGAAATCCACATTTATGTCTTGTCTGTTAGGGGTCGTTTGGGAACTTCTTTTTTTTTTTTTCTTAGTTTTCCCAAAAAAAAAGGTAGTTTTTTGATTTTTCTTAGTTTAAAAGTAAAAAAGTCACAAAAAAAAAATCACAAAAAAAAAAATTCACGCCATACAAAAAAGTTAAAAATTCATGTCCTTTCACTCTATATTTTGTATATCTTTCCGTAAAAAGTCAAAAAAAATATTCTCAAATCTATTTGTTTGGTTCTATTTTTCTAAAAACATTTTTCAGAAAATTTTACTTTCTTGTTATTATATTTTTTGTTTTCACTGAATTTTTTAAATATTTTAAGCAATTTTTTTTTTACTTTTTAAACATACTTAACATAAATGTACTTAAAAGTAAAAAACTTGTGAAAAAAACCTTTTAAAAATTCACTAAATAGCAAAAATTTTAAAAAAATACGAGAATTCAGTACATTTTTTATATTTTTATGTATTTATTAATTTTTAAAAATATTTTTTCACAAAATTTTTACTTTTTAGATACATCTAAGTAAGATGCGTCTAAAAAAGTAAAAAAAAAATGTTTAAAATTTTAAAAATATTTACTAAAAACAAAAAAACGCGGGAACTAAAAAACTCAATTTTCAAAAAACTTAATCCAAAAAACTCAAATCAAACACACTGAATTAATTTTTCATCTCATATTTTAACAAAAAAAGTCAAAAAATAATTTAAAAAATATGTTCCCAAACAAGGCCTTAGGCCTCGTTTGGGAACAAGTTTTTTTAGTAATTTTTTGGCTTTTTAGCTAAAATGTGATGTAAAAAAAATAGTACGTTTTGGATGACTTTTTAGCTTTTTACGAAAAGATGTGTAAAAAGTAGATAGAAAATAGAATCTTTAACTTTTTAGTATGAATTATTGACTTTTTGATTTTTTTAAAAACTTTTTGACTTTTTAACTAAAAGAAATACTTGCCAAACGAGACCTTAGTTGGTGGGGGAGCGGGGTCACTGCTGTGCAGTGTTCCCTGCTGTGCGGTTTCAGTCTTTGTTTTGTTTTTTTTGTTTTTTTTTTTATCCAAAACCAAAAAAAAAAAAAAAAAAAAAAACTCATAAAATGCTGCCATTTTATTAACACAGCAGGAACAGCAGTGAGGAATCACAGCAGTGACCCCTCTGTGTTCCTTTACAAAGCATATTTGTAACGTACATACTCCATGCAATGACAATAAGTGTAATTATTTTTTTTAATTTAAAATAATTATAAATTTACATTTCTACTTTAAGTAACGTTGCGTATCATGAAATAAATATTATGAAATTAATTTAAGAGTAACTGCATAACATATAATAAAATGTTACAAATTAATTCAAAGATAAAGAATGGGGGATCTGGTGATAAACCCCTTATTGTCTAATTTGTCTTGCAAAAGGACAAAAATTATATACCTACTTTCAAAATCCCTTAATATTTTAAAACTTGTTTCTTTTACTATATTACCCTCATATCTATCAGTTCTCCTATTAAGCAATCTTCACAGTGTATTTCAGAATAAAAATTGATTTTAAATCATAGTAAACTTTACTCTGATTCAGAGTAAAATATTCAAAGTAAAATTTTATATTGTTAAGCAATTCAACATGTTTTTAACCAGAGTAAAACTTTACTCTGAAAGTACAATTTTACTTTGAATCAGAGTAAAGTTTACTATGATTCAAAGTAAAATTTTATATCGTAAAGCAAATCAACATATTTTTAATCAGAGTAAAATTTTACTTTGAATCATAGTAAACTTTATTCTGATTTAGAGTAAAATTTTATTCTGAAAGTACAATTTTACTATGATCTAAGGAGAGTATCCATTTTGAATCACACTAAGTGTCATGTATTAATAACCTTGCATGTTGGGTTGCTGAGAAAATCACAAAAACATAACAAGAAAACCAAATATAGTTTGGTTGCTGAGAAAATCATCATACTTTTAACCAGAGTAAAATTTTACTGTTCCAAATCTGTCTCATACATACATACATACAATTAGACCGTTTTATCTGTGCAAATTTAAGTTACAAAAATTTGGTTTGCACAGAGCAAATCTTATACATGTATCTTATCTGTTCAAATCTTTGTTCAAACCCAATATATATATATATATATATCAAATGTCCATGATCAATTAAAATTTCCCCTCTCATTTACACAGATATACAATTCAATATTGAATGCAATAACAGATATATAGAGATACACACACAGGTTGTACTCTTCATTCAGCCATCTAATCTAACACTAAACAAACAGTAATATAAAATAAAAAAAAATAGAGAAGAAACAGAAAAAGAAGAGAGATAGATAGGGAGAGAAAGAGATGGATATACTACTACTACTACTATACTACAACAACAACAACAACAACAACAATAACAATAACAATAACAACAATAGTTAATGTCTTCAAAAAAATGTTTGTAAAATGTGGAAAAAAAAAATTGATTACACTCCACAGATTTGAACTTAGATAGACTGAACTGAACTCAAATCTGAACTCAAATAAAATGTTTGTAAAAAAATTGATCAAGATATGTTAAAAATATAGATTTGTTCAAACACAGATCTGTTAAAAAAATATAGATCTATTCGAACCTAGATCTAGACTTCTCTGACAATCTGACAGGAGGAAAATGAGCACGGTGGGATCTAGACTCGCCATCGCCGTGAGTCATGATCGTTCACTTCTATACGCTAAAGTAATAGTCATAGCGATACTCACTTTGGATTCCTCACCGACAGATCTGAACAGGAACACTATTCGGCAATGAGGGTCGGAGCGGCAAGGTTAACATGGCAGTGTTCCTAGTGGAGGGTGAAGAAAGAGCAACGAAAGAGAGAGGAGCAGCAGCGACGCTTGCAGTAGGTGACAGTGACGATGGCGATGATCGTTTCAGATCAGTCGCTTCAGATTGTCTCGCCGAAGGTCGGAGTCGTTGTTCGACTTCTCGATCACCTCAGGCTATATTTAGAGGGGGAGGAGAGAGACGGCGAAGGTGGGGAGAGAGTTGGTGGAGAAGATGAGAAGATTTAGTTGATGGTATAATAGTTTGATAAAATATTTAAATAATAATTTTTGTCCTTTATGCAAAACTTTATAATTATGAGGGAGTTTAGAAAGTATAATTTTTTTCTTAGTCCTTTTAACAATGAAAGGAAGAGAAATGGGGTTTATAGCCAAATTTTCCATAAATAATTTTCATAAAAACTCTTCATAATATTTCTTTCATGATACAAAACATTATTGTTCTATTTTATAGTATTTGTAATGAAAATCTTGGTCATAATTAGTACACTAAAGGCATCTCCAACGGTATATCAAAATTTTCACTAAATTTGAGTAAAAAGTCTGTTTGATATTAAGTGCTCAAACAGAAGTTTTTGAGTTTCGTTAGAATACCGGTCGACTAGGTAGACGACTAGGTGGATGTCCAGCTAGTGTAAATTTTTCACAAATTATTACCTTGAGGTGGTCATTCGGAAGGTCGGTCAGGCGAACAACCAGGTAAGTGTCTAGCTGGTTGACTGGCAAGTGTAAATTTTTTACAAATTTTTGTTTTCAAGTGGTCATCGGGGGATATCCAGTGGTAAAAATTCAAAGATTATAAACAGTGATTTTATAAAAGGCAAATCGATCCTCAATCTGACAAAGGATTTGAGAAATCCTAGATCTGATGAAAGATTTGATGAACCATTAGAGCAGCAAAAAGCAAGTTTTTTCATCAAATTTAAATTTAATGAAACATTTGTTGAATTATTAGCAATTGTCTAATTAGAGCATCTCTAACGGTACATCAATTTTTTTTATTAAATTTAAGTAAAAACTTCATTTGATATCAAGTGTTCCAATAGAAGATTTTGGAGCTTCATCAGAATACCAATCGATCGGGCAAATGTTCGGCCTGTCCACCGATTAGTGTAAATTTTTTCATAAATTTTTGCCTTGAGGTGGTCGACCAGGAAGACATTCGACAACAGTTATGAACAGTAATTTGATGAAAAACATAATAGCCCTCAGTTTGATTAAAAAAAAAAAGTAAAATTCTAAATTGAATACCTATTTGATGAAACTGTTAGACTAGAAAAATGAATCAGTGTGTTTGGTTTAGTTTTTTGGATTAAGTTTTTTTAAAATTGAGTTTTTTGATTTTCGTGTTTTTTTATTTTTAGTGAATATTTTTAACATTTTAAATATTTTTTTTTACTTTTTTAGATACACATTACCTAGATGTATCTAAAAAGTAAAAAATTTGTAAAAAAGTATTTTAAAAAATTAATAAATATATAAAAATATAAAAAATATATACTGAATTCTCATTTTTTTTATATTTTTGATATTAAGTGAATTTTTAAAAGATTTTTTCACAATTTTTTAAAATTTTAAGTATATTTATGTTAAGTATGTTTAAAAATTAAAAAAAAAATTATTTAAAATATTTAAAAAAATTCAATAAAAAAAAAAGAAAAAAAACACAAAACTAAATTTTTTTTAAAAATATTTTTGAAAAACTCTGATCAGGCGGTTCAGTGTCTGTGTCATGCAATGCCAAGTCAACAAAGTACAAAGCTGGACAGAAGAATCGTGAAACATTTCTACACAACCTAGCCTACAAGTCACGTTCTCTCTCTCTCTCTCTCTCTAACACCCACCTCTTCGGGTCTTCGATTTTTTCTGTTTCAAATCTCTCTTCTTCTCCTAGTCATAATAACAGGCCTCCATCTCTCTCTCTCTCTCTCTCTCTCTATTTGTTTTCTCTCTCTAACTTCGTTACAACAAACCTGTAAAAGCATACATATACAATCACATATATATATATTTGGTTCTCTCTCTACATTTGCTCGATTCAGTGGTGTTCCAAACTTGTGGTTAGATCTGAGGCGGAGAAGTTTGAGCAATGATGCGTGGTTTGACTTTCTACGAGAGATTTTCCCGAGCTTTCCATGACAATTCGTCTCTCGCTAAGCTGCTTGTTGTCTTCACTGTCAGGTATCAACTCTGTTCATAATTCCTCTGTTTTTCTATTCAGTGTCTTTCGATTTGTTTTCGTTTCTATGTTCAGTTCATATCATATCTGTACTTGATCTTTTTCTTTTTCTTTTTTTCTCCTTTGAGTTCGAAATTGCGTTTGATCTGGTTTTGTAGATCAGAGTTCTTTGGTTTATTGTAATTAATTTAGTTATTTTTAGATTCAGTATTTGTTAGTCAAACTGATATGGATTACAATTCTTTGTAATTGTACCTAGCGTTAGTCAAATGAATTTGAAGGATAGGTACTCTTTGAGCTACTTTGAATTTGATCAAATTACAATGAGAGCTTATGATTAATGTCTCTCTTATTTTCACATTCAGGTTCCAACTCTGTCAAAAGTTCCTCTGTTTTTCTATTCGGTTTTTTTTTTTTTTTTATTTGTTCTCGTTCTATGTTGAGTTCATATATGTATTTCATCTGGTTCGGTAGCTGAGATTTCTTTGGTTTTTACTTTTTATTCAATTCCATTGTTTTGCTGCTCTATTTTTATGGATTTGTTTGTTCACAAGTGTGTTTGATCTTCGGATTCACTATTTGCTACAGAGATTTGTTTGTTCGATCTGGTTTTGGTTTTGGTTTAGGTTTATTGTAAATAAATTAATTTTCTTCAGATTCACTATTTGCTCCACTGATTTGGATCTTAATCTTACAATTACAATTTTCTGTAATTTTGTTTAGTGTTAGTCAAATGCGGTTCGAATGTTAGGTACTCTTTTGAACTACTTTGAATTGATCAAATTACAATGAGATTATGATTAATGTTTTTCAATGCTTAGATCCCTGAATTGGAGAGTAAGAATATGTGATTTCCTGCAAACTGCTAATTTTTTTGCTGTATTGTGTTAGGCTGTTTCTTCCGTTATAGTTCCATTCATTACACTGTATAACCGCTTTTGGATCCATTTGTCGATTGGAGAGTGCACTGCTTTACAATTGGCACATAGACTGCATAATTGTTGGGTTATTGATTGGCCATGAAACAATTTTGTCGATTATATAGACCTTCACTTCTTCAAGCTGTTAGATCATTAGATGGCGAAATCTTACACAGATCAGGTGATTTGATTCGAATTATAGTTGTTAGCAGTCATGGGTTTTATTCCCACTCGCCCTTCAAGCCACCCCAAGGCTTAGATCGGGAAATTACCTGATACATATGGGACGTAGAATTACATGTCTCCCGGAGGCGAAGCCTTGGACACCCTCATGAGCATAAAAAATAATTATCGTTGTTGACAGTGAGATAGGCTTTGTAACATTGCTAATCCTAGTAGCCAAAGGCGTTTAGTTCAACACCCGAAGGCTAATTAGTCTTATTGGGAGTGGGGTAGCTACTAAGATTGGCTGCATAACAATTGTATAAACATTCTTAGGGAAAACCATCTAGTACTTTTTTCCCCTGTTGGTATTTTTGTTTTCTCTCGACCAATATTCCTAATGCTTTGGTTAAATATGTGATTTGAAAGATGAGTGACTAAGCATGTAGCCAAACCTATAGTTATTCAGCTAGAAGTGTTGAACATGAATCTTGTGGATACATCTAAGCATGTATCCACAATTTGAAGGGATTTTTCTTCCTCTCCTCTTGGTTCATTCTATGAAGTAAATTTTCTCCTGCCTTTCATTGTTGGCCTGTTGAAATATCATTTTTCTTAGCTTATACTTAAACCTAACCGAGGTGGTTTTGGCAGTGGTGGGAGCCTTGTGGCCTATTCCGAGTCAAAATCATCTGATGGCATGAACATTGTTAATCCATCTGAGGCTGATAGCAAGAAAAAGAAGGTGGTGGTACTTGGAACTGGTTGGGCTGGAACAAGTTTCATGAAGAATCTGAAGAATTCGGAATATGATGTCCAGGTGATATCACCTCGTAATTATTTTGCATTCACCCCTTTGTTACCAAGTGTTACATGTGGCACAGTGGAAGCTCGCAGCATTGTTGAACCAATTCGCAAAATCATTAGAAAGGTAAAGAGATGTTGGCATCCCCGTGAGAGACTGTTTTATCATTTCCAAGTTTTATTAAAATCGTTTTTGTTATATGTCCCACCTAAATTTTCTTCTGAAATGATCTCAACTACAATTGTAAGTTGTTACTGATCTTATTAAGTCATGTTTCATGGCAAAGTTAACTTTGCTCATATATCATATCTCCTTCAATCTGTGAAGTGTAGAACTTAAAACAAACATGTGCTTAGGGCCCACAGAGCTGGACTGGTTTCCAATTTCTGAGAAAGCACAGTTTCATGCTCATGGAGTTTGCGAATCATTTGTACAGAATAAACAACAGTTCCACATTTTGGTAGTTATTTTCACAATTAGAATTTGGTTACTGACGAATGCTCTCCTTTCCTTGCAGAAACATATGGATATTCATTACTGGGAAGCTGAATGTCTCAAGATTGATGCACAAAATAAAAAGGTTTATTGCCAATCAAATCAAGATAACAATTTAAATGGGAAAAAGGATTTTGTTGTGGAATATGATTACCTTGTGATAGCCATTGGAGCACGTGTTAATACATTCAACACTCCTGGTGTTGAGGAGAATTGCCATTTTTTGAAGGTATGTTATTTTGGTACTCTATTACTTCACAACTTGGTGCCCTACCATCAACTTGGTCTCCCACAATGATAGAAGACCTAAAAACAATATCAATTTAGTTAACTTTACTAAGGTGACATGAATGGAAATTAGAAATAGATGCTTCTTTTATGTAGGATGATGCTGGAATATGAAACAAATTTTCATTCATCAAGGAACAATGTTATTTGGGGATTTTCGTGATTTGAACCTTGTCAGCTTCATCCATATATGCACATTTGTAGCCAATGTTTCTGGAAAAATTCACTTCATGCAGGAAGTTGAAGACGCTCAAAGGATCCGCAGGACTGTTATTGACTGCTTTGAAAGAGCCAGCTTACCTACCCTAACTGATGAAGAGAGGAAGAGAATTCTTCAGTTTGTTATTGTTGGTGGTGGACCATCTGGTGTTGAGTTTGCAGCAGAGCTTCATGATTTTGTTAATGAAGATATAGTGAAGTTATATCCCAATGTTAAAGATCTAGTAAAAATAACACTTCTCGAAGCAGGAGAACATATTTTGAACATGTAAGGATATACTTACTCTGAAAATCCTTGTCGTTTCTTTCTAAGCTGTACTTTATTGTTCAGATGATGGATGATCTCCTTCAGCTCCATTATTAAATGATTTCTACCATTTTACTGCCTATTAAAAGAAAAGAACTACGTGGATGATGTTTTTGAAAACAATATTTTTCTTGTTAAAATTGGAGACATGAAAGGCATGAAAAAGGTAATTGAAAATTATGAAAAATCGGATTGTAAAAAATGATCTGCAAGATTATTCAAGGCGAATCATCCTCTAAACAGATAATTCGTGATGTTTGATGCTTGCAAGTTATATAACACTAGAAGTATAAACTCACATGTCTGCTGCATTCATGTATATATTTACTTGTATTCATGTTAATCACTTGCATGCCAGATGTTAATTTCCTTACTTCTCTTGAGTTGAGGTATGCAATTTCATTGGAAGCATTGCCATTTCTTCAATTAATAAGTTCTCAAACAATTGGATTTCTTGGTTTGCAGGTTTGACAAAAGAATTACAGTTTTTGCAGAAGAAAAATTCCGAAGGGATGGTATTGAATTGAAGACTGGGTCAATGGTAGTGAAAGTATCTGATAAAGAAATTTCTGCCAAAGAAAGAAGTGGAGAAATCTCTTCCATGCCATATGGCATGGTTCTCTGGTCAACCGGTATTGGGACTCGTCCAGTTATAATGGAATTTATGAAGCAAATTGGTCAGGTATAATTTCTCCATTGCGATGAAATTATCATTTGTCTAAAAATCCAAGCTTTGTTTCTAGTTGTCAATGTTGCTCAGAAGATACCAATTTAATTTTCTTTTTAGGTATTATGTTATTTTTGTATTTTTTATTTTTACTGAGAAAACTTCTGTTTCATGGAGAACAGACTAATAGACGTGTACTTGCAACTGATGAATGGCTTCGTGTGGAAGGATGCGATAGTGTATATGCACTAGGAGATTGTGCCACAATTAATCAACGCAAAGTCATGGTACCTCTTCGCTTTCTCTACAGCACATTTTTATCTAATATATTTGGTTGTTGATCTGTATTAGTAACAATTTTTTACTAAACAAGTTATTTCTACGAGTGTTTTAACACCAATGGAGACAGTTTGGACCTTTACTTTGAAAAAAGTGCATAATGGGAAAGAGGCTGTATACTCTCGCTGCTTCTATATATTGTGTTATAACATTGTTACATTGTTAATGTTCCATAAGTGGAGTTTTTTTTTTTTATATTTTATTTATTTATTTATTCAGCACATACTTGGATGATAATGCTTAAAGCCTAATTTTTTGTAAATGTTGGTGAAGTAATTAAGTATGCAGTCATGTTCTATTCTTTTAGCCTTTGCTAATTTTTTGCTTCTTTTCTTGGCATTTTACTTCAGGAAGATATTTCAGCAATATTTAGTAAAGCTGACAAGGACAACTCTGGAACCCTGACAGTTAAAGAATTCCAAGAAGTGATCGACGACATTTGCCAAAGATACCCTCAAGTAGAACTGTATTTGAAGAATAAGCAGATGGGCAGTATTGTTGATTTATTAAAAGAAGCTAAGGGGGATGTTGCAAAAGAATCCATTGAGTTGGGTATTGAGGAATTAAAAAAACTTTTCTCCCAGGTGGACTCCCAGATGAAAAATCTTCCTGCAACAGCCCAGGTTCTTGTTAAATGAAATTATTTCATGCTGAGCCCGTATTGGTATATCCTTAATGACGCATGTCCTTGAATGTTGCTTAACATGCCCTTTTCAATGGCATTTCAGGTTGCAGCTCAGCAAGGTGCCTACCTTGCTAATTGTTTTAACCGTATGGAGGAGTGTGAGAAAAATCCAGAAGGTCCTCTTCGGTTCAGGGGAGAAGGTCGCCATCGGTTTCGTCCCTTCAGGTATGAGTATAAATATAAATATAAATATATATACAGTACATATATTTTCTTTATTTATTATTGTGGTACATAAGTGAAATTTTATGCCTATAATTGAGCAATGCCTTCTGGTCATAGTTGAATTGAACCACAGGCAGGGGTGCCACTGGTTATGCTGGACATTAATTTCATGAAGTTCACGTGTGGCCTCTAGGGTGTTGGGGATTTAGACCACATTTTTTTTTTTCCTGGAAAGTAATAGGACATTGATTTCATGAAGTTCACGGGAAGCCCCCACTCATGTTGTAACCAAGTGTTTTGCTGACTATTGCTTATGCCTTTGAAACGACAAAATCTAGCTCACATTCATGATCACTTCTTCAACAATAATTTTAGCATCATGATAACTATTTTGGTACAACCTAGTAATTTGCTCCCTCTTGACGATGTACACAGTGGCCGAAAGCAAGCATTGACAACAATATATTGTATTCTTCCCATTAAAAATTTGGGTCTCCTTAACTTGCCTATCCCAAAAAAAAAAAAAAAAAAATTACCTATAGCCATGTTGAGTCTAGCTCTATAATATACTGAGAATGGATGCCCCCTACATTGAATCACATGTAATTTTGTTGTGATCTACTACTCACTAAATTGGTGTCTTACTTTGTATCTACTTATTCATTAAGGTACAAGCATTTTGGACAATTTGCTCCATTAGGAGGAGAGCAAACAGCTGCACAACTCCCCGGTGATTGGGTTTCAATTGGCCATAGTAGTCAGTGGCTTTGGTATTCTGTTTATGCAAGGTAATTGCCTCTTTCTCCTTCATAACTATACCTATCGACTTAGGTACTGCTTAAGCTTGCTAAAAAATTATTTTATCGAGTTGCAAGACTTTAATTGTTCTCGTAAAATTTCAGCAAACAAGTCAGCTGGCGTACGAGGGTATTGGTGGTATCGGACTGGACTAAGCGCTTTATTTTTGGAAGAGATTCGAGTCGCATTTGAGGCAGCTACTACATACATACCCTGGATTTTCCTTAAAGCCTCTGTAGGTTACTTTATTTTTAGCTGCATTTCGACATTTGACAATCATGGAAAATTTTTGTTATGGTATCTTTGCTTGTTTACCCAATTTATCACTTTTATGAGTTGTTCATTTTTGCGGCTAAAAGTCAGCAATATTTGATTGGTTACCTATGTTGAAGGTACGAACTTGTATAGAAACAATAATGTTTGAGAGTTTTAATTTGAGAGCTCTAATTTGAAAGTTCTAATAAAGTTCTAATGGTGGATCTGACATAATGATGCGATGTTTTGGCTTGTGTAATTTTTCTTTTTCTTTTTATTTTTATTTTTTATTTGCCACATCACTGGATCTCATATTAGAACTTTAGTTTTAGAGCTCTCCATCACTACTCGTAAGAAAAATAATAAGGCTGTGTTTGTAGCCATTAATGCAGCATATGTATCTGATGATGGAGAGTCGGGTACTCAAATTTTCGCCTGATTTTACAAGCAGCTCCATATCATTAATTCAAAAACTGGTAGCTAGATATATTCCTGTGATATTTTTAGGCTGAGAAATTTTGGAGACATTTCAAATCTAATTGATTTTTAGGTGGAAAAACCTCAAAGCTATAACGTAAGTTATTTATTTATTTGTTTATTTTTCACTTTTATAAAAAGTTGCTTGAAACCACATTTTAAAAAAAAAAAAGGGTCGAATTGAAACAACTCAAAGCAAAGCAATTTGCTTTTTTGTTGACTTTTTGGTTGGTTTATTTCCATTTTTAGTGATTTAAAAAAAAAAGGTTAAGTTGTGGCTCTTACACTTTACTCGATAAGACGAATTAAAAAATTAAATTTTTTTTATAAAAATTTTAAAAAGAATTTTGAAAAAACAAAAAGAAGTAAAATAGTAGATTTTTAAAGTTTATTTTGCCTTTTCAATTTTTATATGTAAATTTTTAATTTTATTTTTATTTTATATATTCATTTACACCAGATGGACTAGAAAAATAAAAAAATTTGACATAATTTAAGTAAAATTTTGAAAAAAAAGATTTGTTTTTTTCTTAGTTCCAAACAGTCAACCTATTGGACAGGCAATATGCTATTCTAATAGTAAGTGATCATATGAAACAAACGAAGTGGTTAAATACCTATTAAAAAAATAAAACAAATGGTCAATGGTGCTGTATCCCCCTTTGTTTTTTAGGTCGGCAATGGTGGTGTATCCCCTTACCATTAGGTCGGTCGCTTTACTCTATTTTCCTAACTTTTGGTTTCCAAGTTCAAACAACTCTGATCAAGGTTCACCTACCAAAAAAACAAAAATAAATAAATAAAAAAGGTTCTGATCAAAATTTCAAGGTAAATCAAACCAAATCAAACTCTCAGTCTCCTAAAATGGGATTGGCTGGCAAAATTTCGGATATAAAATAAATAAATAAAGTTGTAAGTGTGCATTTCATGTGAAATTATTGAAAAATATTTTAAGTTAAGAAGTAGGATTATGAGATTATTCTGTAACCAAATGTTCTTGGGATTACTAGGTATAAATATTATTTAGATGACCCCTTGTGTATGTTTGGTTGGGAGATTTTGGGAGGGATTTGGAAAAGGAAAGGGAAAAGGTGTGTGAAACTATGTGAATTATAAGTACATTTTTTTCACATTTCACCTACCTTTTCCATTTCCCTTTCTAAATCCCTCCTCAAATCCCTCAACTAAACACAGTATTAATGTTCCCCAAGTCTACTTGATTTTGTAAATTTTTAACAGTTGGGTTTTGACCTGAAACAAATGTGTTAAGGGGTCAATGCAATGCATCTTAATATGCAATAATATATATAAAAGCCTAATCATCCTCAAAACTTTTCTTCATTAAAAAAGTGATACAATAGGATATGCAAATTACATTATATAGTCCAAATTAGTGATGGTTATCAACTATATTATAGCATTTAGTTATGAGCCATTGTGGTGTAGGGTTAGTTAATCGTCAAATCAAAATTCATTATGATTTATTGTGCTGTTTGATTATGGTTTGTTGTGATGTTTAATTATCTTAAATGGTGTTGGTTACAATTTCATTATGGTAGATTTGGTTATAATCAAAGTAATTTCGGTACGTCCAGTGTTAAAATTTTTATTTTATTTTTAATGAGGAACTCGTTGACTGCTCTTTCGATGAAACTTGAGATAAAATTTCGAATATAGGCAACCACTCACTAATTTAAAACTTGTTAGCATTTGCTAAAATATAATAATATGAGAATTATGCTACTGATAGTCCAATAGACTACCAAAAAAAAAAAAAGGTTAAAATTGTAATACAATTTGTACACATCATAAAACATTACTAATATTTTTATACATCTTTTAGATATTTATTATATTTTTTTTTACATATCTTCTAGTATTATTTGACGGCTAGAGGGCTCTCATCAAACCATCTTCAATAAGATAGCTAAAATTAAGCGTTAAAATATGAGTTGACTAACAAAAAGTGATACTCAATTTATGTATTAAAAGTTTATTAATTTAGAAAATAAATAAATTTTTTAATAGTGTAACTAAAATGTTTGTTAAATGAATATAAAAATAAAATAAAATAAAATAAAAAATACAAAAGTTGCCAATAGCCCGTCCCTCTTCTCTGTATCTTTCTCTCTTTTCTGCTTATTTTGTTAACTATTCACAATTAATACACCAATTAGGTCTCGTTTGGGGAGTAATTATTTTAGTCAAAAAGTTAAAAAAAATCACTATAAGTTATCACACCACTCTCTCTATTTTTCTACACATCTTTTCATAAAAAATTAAAAAGTTATTAAAATAACTTGTTTCCAAACCAAACCTAACTTCTTATACTAACTGTAAATCATAGAATAAAAACGCAGCAGATAAAATATTTAGATCATACCTTTAGATGATAGAACCTCGTGGGTAAATCACGTGCTTTCAGAATCTTTAGATGAACCAACCCAGCAGTGAAGTGATATTACAGAATGAATATCACCCACACAAATCACAGTGCAAATGACTTGATCGTTGTTTTTGGGAGAGAGTCAGTATATGGGTAAAACTCAGATCATACGTTGTTTCTCTCTTAATCACCCATAACTCATATACCAGATATATAATGTGTTATTATTATCTATCCATCTCAGTTAATGGAGATAATATCTGTATCCTGAGTGGTTATCCTAAATTGGTTTGAATTCAATTTCAAAACCTATTTGGATAAGGTTCAAATTCAAATTCAAATTCAAATGGTTATGCCACATGGGCGCCCATTACTAATATCTCCCACTCGCACATGAGTTGGCATGACACTGCCACATCTCTATCTCAATCTCCCTAAAAATGAACAATCTCATACTAGCCAATGCACCGTGCGACCGCTGAGAACACCTGCATGTGGGAGCTCTATACTAGAAACTCAATATGAATCAGTATAGAGACATCAACCCAAAAAGAACAGAGATTGTGTCTCATATACCCCAGACTCATCTAATTACACTGGTCCAAAAAACATCTCTAATCCCTCAAAAAGAGCATGTTTGAACCTCTCAATTCTTGCAATATATTCACACTCAATTCGCTTTTCATACAGAGCGATGTGAGTTGCCGGCAGTGAATATACAGCGGTGGTGTAATACTAGATGATCTTCCCTTTGCCCTCATGCCATTTAGTTTAGGATTGACCGCTTTCCCAGTGATGTCCTTTAAGGCCGAATCATGCATGACCGCAGGCAACATACCAAAGTAGCAGAACATCAACCCCTTACCTTATGACATAGTCAAAAGTCACAAAAGGGTACATAAATGAAAGTCATATCAATAATGACACGTAAGACTCACACGGTGAGGAAACAGGGATCCATTCTCTCACCTCATTACTCGATCGCCAAGCACATGTAGCATGAATACATGTTACGGTGGAGTAACTCTTCCATAAAGAGTGAAGTCATAATCGATACACCGTACAGATATTAGTCTAGTCGCTTTCTAGCGCCTAACCCGAATTCTCAATTTGCTCACCTTCCAGGCGCCAAATGAGATCTCGCATCTGGCTAATCATAACAGGCACAACATGGAAAGTGGGTACTAACATCCATGTTTGGTCCTTAACACGACCTCATCTTGGTTATAACCAAGGCGACATACATAGTGGATGATTTAAGCCTCTCTTGGCTCCAAATAAAAATAAACCACTAGTCTCAATCTTGCCTGCTGACATCATCATCTGCTAATCATTATGACACAAACCATAATAGTGTCAACATCCCATCATCTCAAAATAAGTGATCGAAAAAAAATGACCACAGCTTGAGCAATTATAGATTCCAAACATAAGCCTTATCAGCACCTCTTGCGATAAGTATATACAACGGAATCCACCATGTGCGCCTCACATGAAGTGATTCAAGATCACAATTCTAGATTCCGAACATAAGCCTTATCAGCACCTCTTGCGATAAGCATATACAACGGAATCCTCCATGTGCGCCTCACATAAAGTGATTTAAGATCATTAGCTCTTGCGCAATTACCTCTCTAAAGATATTTTGGTGACCAATTTGCGTTCATTCTGGATGCGCCCAACTAGCGCATTGAATCTTACAAGAAGCAAATTAATATACTACTAGTAAGGCATTTTATCCACAGTCTAATGAGTAAGGTCAATGTCTAAACAACTCAGTTGACCATTTACCAAAGATAACACTTATCATGCCGAATACGCTCACATAGCGTACCTTAGACTCCCACACAAAAAAAATCAAGGAATATAGGTCATCTGTTTCTCCCAAAGACAATTCGAGGATTCACTCAATAGCTAAGGCTCTGGCTTTTACCGATAGGTAAGTCAATGGGTTTGCAATTTTGCATCTAGAATCATTCTAGGATATTCCTTATGTAAGTCATCGAAGACAAAATAGGAATTCTCCCAAAACAATCCCTAAGGATCGTACATCCGAGCATATAAATTACATCACCCATGTCCATCATATCTAAAATAGAGGACTGCCCACCCTAGGTGGCGACAACCTTATAAATTCCTGGCTCATAATGACTAAGTAAGGAAAAACTTCTTTTGGACCATTGATCATGTCTCAGTGGTCTTCATCGATCATCGTTGGCCTATCATGGCTTGGCGAAATCTAAGAACCACTATTTGGATAACTGTTTTAGGCTGTAAAAGATTTATTGGAACTAGCAACCATTTTGCGCTCCTAACTTTTCACCAAAAAAAACATAAGGTAAATCCCTACGGATCTACTTATTCAATTCTC